TGTCACTCACCGCCAGACACAGAGAGACGTCTCACATCTGTGGAGACACGCGGATCAGGACACAGGACACTGAGGCTGTCACACAGTGCAATCACAGCACTCATGGTGCTGGTCCAGCTCCAGCTCCCCAGGGGCCCAGCTGACTGACAGCTGCTAGGCCACAGCAGGGGGTCAGGTGCGTGGGACCGTGCAGCCACCCCTGGCAATTGTTAAACAGTACTCTAACTTGAACAGCTGTCTCTCTTGGGAGTCAGCAAGATTCAGCTTCACTTCACCTGAGCTTAGGGCTCTGGAAAAGGCTTTAAATCAAATTTCCAAGCTGCCAGGTAGGCAGCACCGGGCTCTGGCTTCCACTGGCCCAGGCTTGTGGAGTGATTTAGGGAGGGACACTGAGGGTTGCTAGATGCCAGCCTTTACAAGGCTAACTGCCTCGCTGCTGTTATTGAGGAATAATAGTAGTGCTTAGCTCCTAGATTTGTGTGGGTTAAATGAGGGAACTGAGGTCAGATCCTTAGAATAGCACCTACCACTGAGGAAGAGATCCAAAGGGCTGTTTCTCCTCCCCCTTAACCTCTTTTCCTTCCCCTGCTCCCTTTTTTTTTTTTTTTTTTTTTTTTTTTGGTGGAACTGGGGATTGAACTCAGGCCCTTGCACTTGCCAGGCAAGCGCTTATTTTACTGAGCCATCTCCCCAGTCCCAAGGGTCCTCTTCCTTTATCTTCTTTTTTCCTTTGTTTCTTTCTTTTTTGTTGTTGTTGTTCTTTGAGACAAGGTCTTGCTATGTAGTCCAGGCTGGCCTTGAACTCACTGTGTAGCCCAGCCAGACCTCAAACTCACAGAGATCCTCCTGCCTCAGCCTCCCAAGTGCTGGGATTGCAAGAATGTGCTGCCGCACCCAGCCATTATTATTCTTCGACTCCTTTCTAGGTGGCAGGTTTATATTCTGTCCTGTTGACCTTGTTCCCACTCAGACTGTGAACACCTCATTCGAGGGTCATCATTGGAATTGGAAGAAATGATTTACATGGAGTGTTTATGTAGCTGAGTGCCCAGCATACAGCAAGGACCCAAAAGAAGGGGACTGCTTATTGCTGCCTTGATTTTGCAAGATCCAAGTGTGGCACCACGCAATGCGCTCACCAGATAAATGTCACTGTGCTTCATCTCCTAGAAGTTATCCATGTGTCCTTTCCCAGTGACGCTTAAATGTTCACACACGCATCTTATGAAACTTCTGAATGTCATTTGCAGTTGTTCCCAGGAGCAGCAGCGGTACTAGAATAATCAAGAAAACAAACACTCCGGAGGCCGGAGAGACAGCTCAGCGGTCTGAAGCGCCTGCTTAGGCAAGCTTAGGCAAGCAGGCGGGGACCGCAGTTCAATCCACTGCACCACGTGCCCTGCCAGCCCCGCCTCCAGGGCAGGCTGAGCCAGCCACAAGAATTAAGAAAATAAATACAGTGTTCTTTGGTAATCATCTTTACCAAAGTGACACTAGACACTGTGCTATCCAATGAGAGATGGAAAACTGCTAGGTAAGGCGGTGCCTGCCTGTAATCCCAGCACTTGGGAGGCTGAGGCAGAAAGATCATAGATTCAAGGCCCCTTGGGCTACATGTAAATTCAGAGCCAGTGTGGGCCACATAAGGTCCTGTCACACCGCTACCCAAAATTTAAAAAAATAAAGCTATTGCAAAGCAAAAAGAAGACACAGAAAAGTCTGCAATGAAAACAAATAGTATAGATTAATTAAAAATTA